CTTACAACATAATAGATATGGAGGGTCAAGGCCATTCAGCCTAGGAATTATCTATAAAGAAAAGTCTGGGTATTGCTTTCTAGACTTTGTTCAGTAGCACACCCTTCTGCAGAAGTAAAGTTTGCCTTGCTGAGCTACTTATGAGTACATGTTTGATTCCTTGAGGCACCCTGGTATTCCTAACAATTTTTTCACAACCTGGGGCTCCATACATTGCCTAGGGGTTATGAGGACTCCCTCCTCAGAGGAGAGGCAGCCCACTGCTGTGGCCACTTCAGAGTGGGGAAAGAAATTGCAATCTCTGAGGCCAATAACAGACCACAAGTTGAAAGTGGATCAGCAATGCAAGGAAAGGGCGAAGCAAGGACCTTGGTGACCGGGTAACTCCATGCATGGACCAAGGAAGGAAAATCTATTCTCAGGAAAGAAGTATTTCCTTGGCAGTCAGGACAATCTAAAGATTGTGTGAGTGTGATTGAGACATGAGTACAAGAAACCTCCAAAGGGTAGCAGGGTTGAACCTCTGTTCTCAAACATTAGATCATACCCAGGGAGCAGGATGGGGGGAGTGCAAGAAATCTCCAGTAGAGAGGTTGAGGCTCCAAATAAAAACTCTAGTCTAGAGAAAGAGGATTCTGGCAGGAGAACAAGACCTGAATTCCCCTAGATATCCCTCTGGGCCTTTTGATAAAATATTGGAATAATAGTCCTAGGATGAAAAGGGAAAAAAAAAACAAAAATGATGAAACACTGTTGTTTAACTTGGACTCAATGAGCATGCAGGAAGTTTGGGGTGTACAAGAAATCCCCAGGAAAAATTCTAGACCTAGGAACAGGGAAAGAACATGGAAAGCACAGGCTTTCCCATGTCTGACTCATCCAGGGTCTATTTTAATTTCTAAAAGTTTAAATGTGATAGCTTTTTGGTTTCTACCTCTAGGGATGCAATACTTTGTAAAAAGCTATAAAATCCTTGTTTCCTGTTTTGTGTATTATCTGTGCACACTTGTGTATTATATGTTGTATCTACATATGTGCTGTGTCTATATTATGTACATGGTACCAAAATTAGCATATAAATAAATGCATATTCATATTTTTTTAAAAAAAGGAATGGATCCAAATGCCCTTCAGTTCATGTGACTTAAATTGGTTAAATAGATTTGAGTAAAGGTTTCTTTAAGACTACTCCCAAGTTTTCTAGATAACCAACCAATCAAGACAGCATTGATTTCTATAAAATATTTAAAGTGCAATGTCCATTGCTTTTAAGGATTTTTCTTTGGCAGGAATAACTGACTTAAAGTGTTAACTAAACTTGTCTGACACCTTGGCTTTCATGAATAATCTAAGTTAGAAATGGGTATATTAGTTTTAACATAAATGAGATTAATCTTCAAATATTGTTTGTGAGAAAAGACATCTGATTAATTTGCAAAGTTAAGATACTAAAACATCAACTAAGTATAAATTCAATTACTTGGCTTCTTGAATTCCATAAGGTAATATATATTTGGGTCTATTAAATGTATTTTCATATATTTTTAAAAGATTTAAAATTGCTTGTTTCTAGATCTTAACCTAAAAACAAGCTTACTAAGAGTTAAAATTCTAACAGGTGTAATTCTATATGAAAGAGTACAAAAAGTTTCAGCTGTGTTTCAATTAAAGTACTGTAAAAAGCTTACTAAAAAGTAACTTGTCGAAATTCAGAAATTTTATAAGGATTATTTCAGAATGTAAATTTAAGAAAGACTCAGCAATTGGGGAAAGAGAGATATAAGAAAGTTATAGGTAGGGAAATACATTTTAGTATGGAATATTAGAAGAAAAAGGAAATGTTTCTGGATGAGAAAGTATTTTATACATTAGACAAGCTTTTAGTTGTGCATCTACAACTAAAAAATATATTTTAAAAAGAATGTCTAAATTGCACAAGGTTTGTGGAAGATAAATCTCAAAAAGTTTGTGTATATGATTAAGTTGGCTATAAGTAGAGCACTCAAAGTTATTTAAGGGTTTTTTCCTAAAGTTAACCTTTAACATTGCTAATCCTCTATGATTAGAAATAACAAGGGCTCCTTAAAACATTGATCTGCTCTTATCAATCAAGATAATTTCTGGTGTCTGTTAGGCTTTTTTTTTTACTTAGGGAAACTAAATCTTAAAGGGATTAGGGATTGTACCTATTTCAAAGTCTTTTAAATTACTAATTTATAACAAGTTAAATAAACAACTTTTATGAGTATTTCTGAGAACTGTTTGAGTCTTGTCCAAGTTAATGTAAAAGTTAAACTTAATTAACAAAGACATGTATAATTATGACTCTAGCCATAACTGGCTTCTCTGTATATTAAATGTATTCATGTTCTTCAAGAATACATGCCTTTTAAAATGTAAAGCTCAGAAGAGCATTTTACCAAGTTGGTGTTATCCAAACTAGAATTGTCTGTAGCAATAGTCTCCTTCATATTTATATAGAAATAACCAATTTGGTTGATATATATGTCATTTTAATGTTTTGTAACTGGATAAAAGTAACCTGATATCAATAAGTTATACATAATTTTGTGTTGTTCTTTATACTAGGATGGGAATTTAAATGTATTTTTGGAAGGTAATAAGGAGAGTTTGATTTTTTTAAAAGCTCTCTTAGCCTTTCTGTTTGATTCATATTTCAGATGTAATGTTGTATTATGCTAACTATTTTTTAGATAGATTCAGAAAATAATACATAAGAACCTTGTAAAATGATATTTTAAAAAGAGGCAAAGATCAGCTTCAAAAATAAAACACTTTACATAAAATTTGTCAAGAACCCTGCCTCACCTGAGATAAGACTCTGCCTCTTACCTTATTCCATGTTAGGATCGCTCCAAAGCCGACCAGAATTAAGCACATTTAAAGTTGTGTTCAAAAGATAGGTTCTTGTTGTAAAGATGACTGCAATCTCAAAAATAAAGTAAGTAAATAAGTAAGGGTTAAGTAAGTAATAAACTAAGTAAGGACTTGGGTAAATTATGAAAGGTATTTAAGGTAATAAAAGAGTTTTTAAAGGAAAGCAAAATTTATGAAATCTTATATGTGATTGAGTTAATAAATTCACTGATCTTTGTGGAGGCAAAATAGATACCAAAGATATATAGTGTTATTATAGAAATTATATTTCTTGGTTCATAGCTATTGTACAAACTGAATATTTTTGCTCTTGTTAATTTCATTTTGTATTTTCCTTATAAAACTTTGTAACTGTTGCCTGTTCATGTTTTGCAGAAGCACTGCTTCTAATAGAACAACCTTAGTTAATTTGAGACAATAAACCATCACCTATAGAAAGAGGGTATAATGCTGACTTCCAGTACTAATATTTTGACCCCAATTAATTATAGATATTAAAATTAAAACCCAGTATTCTTCCTTTAAGACTGGTGAAGCTGACTTGCTGGATATTTAAAAACAAAACTCGGAGACCAAATTCAAGGAAGTAAAAGGGCCAATATTTTAGCCCTTGCCCTCTAAAATAAGCCAGGATCCAGGAATGATGGGATCCCTCTAAAGACCCTGCATGTCCAGTGAGTAACCCAACCTCCTGATCAGGGGGACCAATAGGATCCTAGAGAACAGGAAACCAACAGTGCACATTCTGCAAGGGGAGGACCATTGGAGAGGGAAATGTCCCTGATGCTTCCAAGGAAAGCCAAATGTGGTCAGCAAGACCCTGACCCATCCTGGGAAATGGCACAACTGATAGAAGAAAAGTTAAAAAGAGCCAAGAGGCTTCTTACAAGTTCCCAATCTCAACTGACTCTAACAATAGACAGGAAAAATGTCAATTTTTACCAACTTGGTCTTAAGAACCTGGCAGGAGAGTATAACCAAAACACAGCCATACGTGGACATTTAAAAGATAAGACAATGTTTCTCTTATTGTTACTTAAGAGGGACATTTGTGTCAGTCCTCCCAAAAGTAAGTAAAACTGGGAGGCTATAAAGGGTTTTATATAGTTAGTGCCTGATAAATATATTTTAAAAAAGCTCTGTCAGCATCACAAGTTTATTCTGAGTCAATGTGAGACCTATTTGTGTTTCTTGTTTTGTTTTTGTTTTTGTTGTCTGTTGAGATTATTATGAGCTGCTGCTCAGACTCCTCTTCTGGATTTCACAATTCATCACTTCCAGCCTGGCAACTTGATTTTAATCAAGACCTGGAAAGTAGACAAGCTTCCACTAAACTGAAAAGAACCTTACCAAATCCTTCTGATCCCTAGGATGGCTACACAAACTGCTAAAAGAAGGAAAACTCATTACCATGGGTGATTTCCACCTCCACATGTTTATATAGCCAGGATGAATAGCAATACCAAAGGGAACAGGAACAAAAATGACAATGAGACCAAAAGATATAAAAAGAAAAATGAGGGACCAGCAAAGATGAAAAAGTCCAGTGGTCCATTTTCAGAATATAGTATCTACCTTTTGGGATGTAAGATCCAATTGTAGCCATTTTAACTATAGCCCTTCCCTTTGTATTTCCCAATTTTTATATTAGCCTATCGAATAGATTGTAACCCTGAGTTCCTCCTATCAGAGCAAGGGACAGTGCTGTGTCAGGGATAAAAACAGGTGGAACTTTCCACCCAAGTGTGCTTGCTTGCCAGACCTTGGTCAGTAACCCTCTCTTCTGCAGAAGTTTGCCTTCCCAAGCTGAAGCAAAGGAAGGAAGGAAGGAAGGGAGGGAGGGAGGAAGAGAGAGAAGGAGGGAAGGAAGGAATGGGAGTCTGAAAACAAAATAGAAATATAGAGATATAACACACACACACACACACACAAAAACTTCCTGCTACAAAGGAAGAAATCCTCCAGAAAAATGCAGAATCATCCATAGGGAGGTGAATGCCAGGCTTATAATGGTAACAGACAACATAAAAGAACTTGGAGGATAAAGCATCTCAAAGTACTTCTTGAAAAAGGTAACCAATAATGAGTCCAGTCAATCGAGAATGAATGGAGAAGCAATAAGAGTGGGAATAGTACAGAATGCAATGCCCAGAGAGTGGGACAATGCCCAGTCTTTTGGAAAAGAAATTGGTACAATAAACTTTCACACCCAGCCAGATAAATGTGAAGACAATAAACAGAAATATAAATGCAAGAATTTAGAGAACAAGCACTGTGAGTTATCTTGGGGTGAGGGGGTGGGGTGCAAGGAAGTCCAGCAAATCAATAATGAATCACAAATTTTAAAAAATAAATAATGCAGGAAAGCAAAATCTGTGATATAAGGACAAGTGGGAAGTAGCAAAATCATTTAATTATAGTATAATCCTAAACCATGATAATACAGAATCGTACAGACAGGATATAAATGCTTTATACAATGACTTTTTAAAAATACTACTAAAAACTCCGAGGATGAGGGGAGTGGAAAATGAGGTGAGAGGAAGATTAAAAGTTTTAATTTCCTTATCTTTCATAGCAGAGAGTCAATCAATATGCCTAAAATTAAAATGGATCTTTAAAAAAAAAAAAACCTCTAGCTTTCTTAATTTTTTTATAATCTTTTTTGTAACCTTAGGGAGAACTTTTAGGATCTAATATCTCTGTGGTAAAAATACATTATCTGAAGTTCCATAATTCCTTTGCTTTCTCTTTGGTTTCTTTTTCTTCCATTAAATTCAAGAAAAACTCAATTTAATGCTTTTTTATTTTTCTAAAAATGTATAGTAAGATCCAATTTTTACAAAATTATTCCAGACTTTTCATTACATTTATATACTTAAAGAGCTACCTGGAATGATTTTCACTTGAAATTATTAGACTTCTTCTTGCCAATAGAATTTGAGATAATTTTTTGTTGTCTTTTTTTTGTTATTTCCATACTTTATATTTGGCATGTATTACTTATGTAAAAACAATGAAGTCACTTAGTTTGAAGTACACAGATACCAGATTGCGAAAATCCATCACAAAATCCACCCACCTTTGTATGCATGTCTCTTTGCTGTATGACTTTGCAAGCTATACCATCAAAGAATAGAGTCGATATTCCCATCCCTTGATTCTGAACTGGCCTTATGATTTGATCAATCAATAGAATGCGGCAGCAATCATACATGACTTCTGAACTTGTGTTTTTAAGAAGTCTTGCAACTTCTCTTACCTTCTTGGAATATTCTTCTGAGACTTCCATATGAAGAATCAAAGGCTGACACACTAGAGGGGGAGAGACCATGTGGAGTAGAGATAAATTATTCAAGTCCCATAGACTCGCCAGTGGATGACCAGCACCAAGCACCATACATCTTGGCCCATCTGGCCCCAGTAGAGCTGCCAGATGACTATAAGCATTGAGTGACCTCAGATGGTATTAGGGAAAAATGCCCACGGAACCCAACTCCAATTGCTGTCCCCACCAAATTGTGAGCAAATAAAACAGTGGTTGTGTTAAATGCCTAAGGAGGGAGATGTTTTATTATGTAGAGACAGAAAACTGACACAGTTGTTAGGCTCAGTGTGTTAACAGGTTTTCATCAAGATGAAAGACTGCACACATATATTTGTCTCACTTTCCTCCCTGAGTCCACTGAACTGACATTAAAAAAAACTACAAAAGAAATAAAATCTAAAGAACAAATTCCAATGGCCAAGACAAAGTCACATGTTCATGTGTGAACCAGGCCTTGGCAAGGGAATGAAGCCACAGTGATAGGCTCACACATTGTGATTCACCCCCTCGGTCAGGGACAGAATCACCCATCTGGGCAGAGGGCCTAGCAGATGCTAAATATTGAAAACAGTAGGCTACTATCCTGTCTTTCAGAAAGAAAAATGACGACCTTTTGCTTTTACAAACCAGTGTTAGTGTTATGGAAAATAAATTCCAGAAAACACTTTTTTTTTAAATTTTCAGAAAAAACATTTCTAAGCAATATCATCTGAACACATAGAATCAAACATCAAATCCATATTCATGGAAAAAGGAAGAAGAGAAGAGCTAAGAAAGGAAACAGAGAACAATCATAGAAATAGGAGAAGTCACCAGAAGTATTTATCAAGTGTCTACCATGTGCCAGGCACTTTACATCCACCAAAAACCAAAACAAAGTGATGCAAGGAAGAGAGCGTGGTGAGATTGTCAACTGTGCTGAAAAGACGTCCAAGAGGTGGGGTCTGATACAACGCCAGTGACGACAATGAAGGAAAGAAGTTCTTGATTACCCTGGAAAACACAATTTTAGTAAAGAGGTAGGGATAGATGCAGAGAGCTATATTTACAGATGAGTAATGAAAAAATGAATTCAGAAATCACAAGACCCCTGAATGATAACAATCACAGGGAGCCATTGAGTAAGTGAAGGCTTTAAAACAGCAGACTTGGGAGCTGGGGTTGTGGCTCAGTGGTCGAATGCTTGCCTAGCATGTGTGAGGTGCTGGGTTTGATTCTCAGCACGACATAATAGATAGATAGACAGACAGATAGATAGATAGATAGATAGATAAAGGTATTGGGTCCATCTACCACTAAAAATATTAAAAGGAAAAAAAAAAAAAAGCAGACTTCTTGTTCCCAGACACTTGGGAGGCTGAGGCAGGAGGATTACAAGTTCAAGGCCAGCCTCAGAAATTTAGCAAGGCTCTGAGCACCTTAGCATGGCCCCTTCTCAAAATAAAAAATAAAAAGGTTTGGTAGCGGGGAATGGGGATGGGACTCAATTGTTAAGCATCCATTGGGTCCAATTCCTGGTACAAAATTGAAAAAAAAAATACACACACACACAAAGACTTTGATGTCTGAGGTAAAATGGAGGGAAAACAGAACCATTCTGTCATCTGCAGCAATGCTCTCAGCACAGAAGGAGTGAGCTTATCTTCACATGCAACAAAATAAGAAAATCTAAAGCCTAAGAGGTGACTCTAGAATGTTTTTCAACCATTCTCACACAAACCAATGGAAATTTGGCCAAGTTAACAAGATTGTGGTCACCTATGTGTTGTGCAGTCAGGAACTCCTTACCCCAAGTCCTAGAGTGAGAGACAACATCTACCATGGCCCACAGTGATCTACACCTCTGAGTAAGCATGCCCTTGCCCCTTGAGCTGCTGCCTTCAAAGAGACCAGACAGGCTGCACTGAATTCCTGACCCACAGAAGCTGTGAGAAAATAGACATTGTTCTTTCAGGTTGCTAAGTTTGGGGTGACATGTGATATAGGCATATCACTGCCCTGATATCTAAGGGTGCATCCTGACAAAGGGTCTCACTACACTCCTTGAGGATAGCTCCTGCTATGAGAGATAATCTCCAAAATTCCACTTGTTCCCTCTTAAGAACAAATAATAGAGACACTTTCCCAGAATAGAAGCATATTCAGTTTAGACTCTGCCATCCTGTTTCCAAAAATCTCAGAGCCTTCCTTGACTTTGCCCTTTTATCATCTCAGCACTAACTCCCACCACAGGGAAACTGCCTCTCTTGAGAGTCTCCTCCTTTCCACATTCCCACAGTCCTGCTGCTCTGGAGTACTGATCACCAGAGCTCTCCACAACCTGCAGAACCCCTTATATCTCTAGTACTCTCCACTGACTGTTACCTATTGAAGTATAATAAGCCACCCAGGAACTCAGTGGCTTGAAACACCATTACTTTATTTTGCACACTTCTATGGGTTGGCTGAGTGATTCTTTGCTGGTCTCACCTAGACTAACTCATGCACCTACACTCAGATGGAGGATCTGCTAGAAGGTCCAGTGAGCTAGAACAGTGAAAACAGCTGGGGATTTCTGGGCCTCTCTCTTCACATGGTCTTTCCTTTCCAAGGAAACTATGCCAAACTGGGCTTCTGCACAATGTAGAGGCAGCATTCCAAGAGGGCAAATCCTAATACACCAACACTGATCAAGCTTCTGCTTGTTTTATGGCTGCTCTTGCCCCATTGGCTAAAGCAGGTCACATGGCCAAGCCCAGCATCAACATGGGTGGGAACATACAAGTGCACAGATAAGAGGAGGGCGACTCACTGGGGAAAATTAGGGGAAGTCATCTACCACACCTCCCAACTCAATCTTAAGCACCATTCCTAGATAATCTTCCCCAAACACCTGCTCCATTATTCCAAATCAATGATCACTGGGATTCAATGAGGTACTGAATGAGGCTTAAACAATTTCTTTCATGCTCATCTCATGGTTAAAATGTGGAATAAAAGTTACCTCTTAGGGAGGAAGCAGTCTTATTGGCTACATTCTACTGACAGAGCTACTGATAGATCACACCTGAGAATTATAACCAAGCAGGCAACCAGCGAACAGTCAGGGGAGGGAGGGAGGGTATCTCAAAGCCATCTCTTGTCTGAGTGCACAAACTGTGCCTTTGTGCATTTATCCCTACTCCCAAAGATAGTCTGCAATGTGATAGGCCTACAAATATTTGATGAATGAATGAATGAATGAATAGGTGAGTTTGAGTGAATGGAAGGTAGAAGAGTTGAATGAACAAAGGATTCTTGGCCTAAAGTGGTAGTTCTCAAATTGGAGCATTCATCAGAATTACTTGGAAGACTTGTTGAATCACAGGTTGCTGAGCTTCACCCCTAGGTGGAGAAAGACAGGTTTAGAAGTTGCATTTCACTCATCCAAGTACCAGCCATGCCCAACCCTGCTTAACTTCTGAGATCAGACAAGACAGGGCATATTCAGGGTGGGATGGCCATAGAGAAGTTGCATTTCTAATACCTTCCAGGTGATGTTGATGTTACCATTGGAAATCACAATTTAAGAACCCCTATTCCAGAAGGGAGACAGTTGAGGGAAGACACGCTATCACATAAGTATCTGAAGAACTGCTGTGGTCCAGACAAAGCTGATTTGTTCTACATGGCTCTTTTGACTCCACATAAAAACACATTTTCTAATAACCAGAGGCATGTAACAATGGAATAGGCTGAAATTCTCCACCCTCCTCTGCCTCTTTTCCCACCTTCCTTTCATTTCTCCCCTATCCTTACTCTCCTGTTCCAATAACAAGTTTACAACTCTGGCTGAAAGTGTAGACCTCCTATTTCCACAATCAGAAACTTCTTCCTCCCAGAAACCGAATGTCAGCAATTTTCTGAATACAACCTTATGAGAACAGCAAGAAAGAATCGGTCTCTAAAATGTCCACGTGTCTCATTT